CGTGATTTTCGAAATATGACAACATAGCATTTTCGTTAAAAAGTTCTGGAACGGTCCCATATTTCAGAAACGGCTCAGAGAAAACTCATGAAAACTTCAACAGGTTGGTTGTTGATGATGCCCGATTCAATGGTGATATCGGCAATGTTGCCAAATCAACAGTTTTTCAGATATTTAGGGTAAATCAATTTTTTCAAATGGAATACCCTATTTGTTCCCATTGCCATACATTCGGCGACGCCTCATTACTTATGTCTCCAAATATCAGATTTTAAATAGAAGTGGTTTTCGAAATATGACAACATGGCATTTTGGGTATTCCATTTGAAAAAATTTTGTTACCCTCAATATCTGAAAAACTGTTGATTTGGCAACATTGCCGATATCACCATTGAATCGGGCATCATCAGAAACCATCTTGAATAAAATTTCATGAATTTTCCTTGAACCGTATTGAAAATATTAGAAGGTTCCCAGACTTTTGAACGAGAATGCCATGATGTCATATTTCGAAAACCACTTCAATTTAAAATCTGATATTTGGAGACATAAGTAATGAGGCGTCGCTGAATGTATTGCAATGAAAACAAATAGGGTATTCTATTTGAAAAAATTGAGTTACCCTAAATATCTGAAAAACTGTTGATTTGGCAACATTTCCGATATCACCATTGAATTGGGCATCATCAGAAACCATCTTGAATAAAATTTCATGAATTTTCCTTGAACCGTATTGAAAATATTAGAAGGTTCCCAGACTTTTGAACGAGAATGCCATGTTGTCATATTTCAAAAATCACGTTAATTACGAATCTGATATTCAGGGAGTCAAGTAATTAGGAGGCGCTCAATTAATTGCAATAAAAATAAATGGGGTATTCCATTTGAAAAATTGAAGTTACTCCTAATATCTGAAAAACTGTGAACTTGGCAACATTGCCGATGCCACCATTGAATCGGACATTATCAATAATCACCCTGTAGAAAATTTCGTGAATTTTTCTCAAGCCGTTCCTGAAATATGAGACCGTTCCGATACTTTTGAAAGACACTGTATACTCTCGAGCCTACTCTATAGGAAAAAGCCGAGATGGTGACCTCTACCGGTTACCACCGAAACAACAAGGCCAGCAGACTCTGACGTTAACAGCTCGTGACGTCACCAAGAGAGGCCAGTGTTTTATTTTATCGCTTGTCGACTAACGCGTCAGTTCGTGTTAATTCATCGGTGATTCACGTATGTTTTTGAAACGGTCCCGAATTTTGTTGTTGTTTATTCATCAAAATAATTGGCGGAAAAATTACTGTTTTGTGAAATATTTTGTGTTATGATCGGCGAAATAACAATGCCTTCCAAGTGTTGTGTTCCTTTTTGTCGGGGAATTATGTAGGTGGTTCAAAAGTTCATGCTTTTAGTTTCCCGTTGGACGAGGAGCTATTGAAAATGTGGGTATATGCAATTCACCGCGAGGATTTTACTCCATCTGAGTTCAGTAGTAAACAGAGCTTAATTTATAATGATGAATTAATAATAGAAGATAATTACTCTCTCATGAAAAGTATAAGTAGAGGAAAAATAGAAAAGCTTTGATTGTGCAGTTAGTTTTGTATTCGTATATTATAGTCAACAAAATCATCTCTGAATTCGGGGAAATTTTCTTGGATGTTCATAATGAACGGGCATTCTTAATTCTCATTCTCAAATTTCTTTCTGAAAACGGTCATTTGCCTCGTGGCAATGAATGCAGAATTCATTCCAATGATCAAATTGCAACTATCATATTAACATGAACTACATACACTCTACTTAAAAAGGTAAAACTGCATTTATCATGATATTTATCATGAAGATATTTGACTAAAAAGTTCCAAATTTCACCTTCTTTTTCACCTGTCTTCTGGATGGCATTTATAACAAATTTCCATTCTTTTTTCATCATATTGGACAATTTATATATAATTCAACTATAAATATGATTTTCTTGAGATTAATCCATATTTAGTGAAAAGAAGGAAGAATATCATTCAAAATAATGGCGTGTGTAATGTCATTCGAAAGCAATCTATTGACATTTGCCATCTTGTATTTTGATTGACTATTGATTAAATGGTCGTCATCTGGAATGCTTGTTCACTAAATATGAAAAACTCGCCATAAAAATCATATTTCCTGTTGAATTTTCTATATAAAAATGTGCCATCGAAGTACATCATGAGTATATGAAGTGTCCAATGACAAAATGAGAGCATGTATAGCTCCAAATGCCCCCAACACAAGGGGAGAAAGAAGGCGAAATTTCGAACTTTTTCTTGAACTATCTCAATAAATAGTGGTTTGTTCACATTTTCATTATAAAATTCGGTTTATCAGACAAAAATACGTGAGTACCGAACAAAATTTTCAAAAGAAAACCATCGCATGATAAATGCAGTGTTACCCTTAAAAATTACGGTTTCAAGTGTAACGATCCACTTGGGTGAAAAATCCAACAACAGAAAATTGAAAACACTCACTGGTTATTTTTTCAGGTAATAGGAATTCTTCAAGATAAATATAGGTAATTGTAACAAACGGCATGTCAATCAAAATAAAATACATTTTCCACAATTTTCTTCCGATCAATCTCACGATGAGTTTATGTTCTGCGGGCCCTGTATAAGTAGGTGTGAAGTTTACCTTCACCACTATTTTTGCCAATATATTTAATTCGAATGGGTTGCTGTAGGTGGATATTTGTGTTTTATCCTGGTTTTTGCTTTAAAACTTCGTTTTTCCATAATAAAATCGAATGGGGTGCGAAGAAGGGCTCAGTTGACGACTGGCATCCTTTTTTTAACCGGAAGCCCTTCAAAAAACAGCAAAATCGGCTCAATGATGATCTAAAACTAAAATCGAAATACGCGGTCGCCTTATAGCGCTATAAGCGCTTGTCGTTTCGAGCCACTGGTTAGGCCTCACTAAGTGACGTCACACACGGAGCATGCAGGTCTTGTTGTATCGGTGGTAATGCCTCTACTCAAAAAAGTATGCCGGTATTGCATGATACTGCAGGACAGAATCTGATGCGAGATCAGATGTACAGCAGGGTGTACTGCAATGAACTATATGTCACTGCACTGTACTGCAATTTGATGCAGGGTACTGCAATTAAATGCTGCTGCTGCTGCAGTTTAATTTAATATACTGCAATTCATACTGCATTGTACGTCACCACAGAATAACTTGAGAATACTATGAGATTATGTGAATAATTATGCATTATTATACTACAATGAAAGCTATGTAATATTTTTTAGTTCAAGCACTTGGCTTTCTGTTATTTTTATTCATTGATAAGAAGTGTATTGTCTAGCGGTAGCTTATGAACTGGATTTGTTTCATGATCGGAGTTTGAACATGCACTCAGGAACGGACTGGGCTGAAATAACCTAAAGGGCTTTGTGAATCAAAGGGCGCAAAATTAAACGATTTCCTGAGATATATTGTGACCGAGATTGTGACCCACTTGAAAGCAGCACACCTCAATGAAATTTGTATTGATTTACCGATTTCGACAAACTTTTTTTTGTTGGGCTTGAAAAACGGTAGGCTTTCTGCGTATATTTTCAGAAGTTAAAATTCGAAAAATCGTATTAGCGATTTTTCAACGAGAAAGGACTCCGCACATTTAGTACGGAAAATGACTTTCGGCTGATTTTTCTGAAAATTTGCTATATGTTTCAGATATTAGCGTCTTTATTATACGGTCCAACTTACAGATCAATCCTATGACTAGTTTTCGAGCTACAGGGTGTCAATCATTTGATTTTGGCTTTTTAGAATATATAACATCGATTCGAATTATGTGCTCTAAGTCATGATAAATCTTCAGAGGAAATAAACGCTCCACGTCTTATTTCTGCCTCATGAATCTCCCTATTCGAATAGATAATAATATCACATACTGGGTATTGCATTCCGTTGTGACGAGGTAATATCCATGGGAATTGAAACAAATTGAAAATATCAGAATTTCGATTTTCAATCGATCACTGAAAACTTGAAAACAAACGGCTAGTATCGGCCAATTCTTTGACACACTATGGAACTTGATCATCAACACGAGGATTCATATGATTTTCTCTGATACAATGTCCGGTTATACATAGGGTGATGACAATTCGGAAGCTAAGAATTGATGTAAGTCATGTACAAAATGAAAAACATATCACGAATGGTTCATAACTGTTTATATAATATATAAAGTGGAAAACCCCCTGAGTCACAACCATCCCAACGCATATCATTTCAATAGTAGCCCCTACTTGTGATACCTCATTGAATATCTTGGTGAAAATGCATTCCAGTGGTATTATACATATCTCGGACTGGGTCAACTAACAGAGAATATGCATTGCCTATATCATTCTGCTAGGCTAGGGTGTCGTATTAATTCCATAACTTTTTGTAGTATGATATCGTTTATGTTGTACAGCTGCCATGTAAAATATATAATTTTATCTCCAAATGATTTGAAACCAATTTTGTGTAAGTTTCTATTGAAAACTCCATCATTTTGTGTTCACCTTATGTCAGTATCAATTTTGATAACCAATTTAATTCAAATTACTTGGAACGTAGCATGGCAACAAACTTTTCTTGCCTAGGCAGAGAAAGTACATCTTTCCTGCCTGTTGAGTGTCAAAGGAACGCCAGTTTCTATGACGCCTGTAGAAAAATACGCATCAGCGTTGGGAGGCAAAAAACCGTTAGCTAAAATCTAATATTTTCTCGTGAATTATACACTATTTTTTTTCTGTGACAGCAAGAAATACGAATCAATATTGAGTAGATATTACATTATATCAGGAAATTATTGACATGAAATTTGAAGTTTTCATCTGGAATCCTATCTGAAATAGTTCATTACTTCCGAAATATACTGTTGATTTATTATGTTAATTTATTCATATAAATAATGTTTTTTTGCGAAAAATTCTTTCTTTCTTTCGTGCAACACATGAACAGGTATTATTGATAATACGGTATACATATAAAGGTATGACTGAGAATACAATTTGAAAATGTTCACTGAGTATTTTGTTTTAGGATGACGTGGTTTGAGAAGGGAGCCAAACAACTTCGAGGTATGTTCAAATCAGAAAACAGTTTAATATTCAACGATAACCTGGAAACTGTCCAACAATACAGAGAAAGATGGAGATCAATTCACATAATATATTTCACCATGTTTTTGATATCTTTAGGATTCAGTATTATTGTCACTGGAGTTTGGCCATACTTGGACAAAGTAAGTAGCTGACAGCATATCAGAACATTCTCACAATTGGTAGGTACCTACCTTCCATCTAAGAGATATCTGGAATTATCGAAATCGTCTCAAAAATGAAAATATTTCAGGCAACTCATTTCGTCAATTTCCTGAATTGCAATATTTTCGACTTTGCATGTAGGTAATATTTATATTTGAACATTTTTCACCAAAGCATTAATTGACTCTTGACTTGCTACAAATTTGAGAAGGCTTGAATATTTTCAAATACCTGTTTTAATTTCTGAAAATTAGGTGAATCAATACATATGCGGTATTCAGATATTCATGACAGTCCGGCTGCGTTAAAAAAAACTTATATGTTTTTTCAATTAATTCTCATTGTAGATGGATCCGACAGCAGGAAAAGAATTCATGGGCTTCGTAGTAGCTGCAAACCCTTTCGCCCAGATGATATTCTCGCCTCTTGTAGGGTGGTGGAGTAATAAATTGGGTTCAATACGGGTTCCCATGATATTTTCTCTGCTTCTCTTCACGATAGCTAGTGCAATGTACTCATCATTGGAGTTATTTTCTAGTCATAGAAAACACTGGATGTTATGGTCCAGATTTCTAGTTGGAGTAAGTTCAGGTAAACTATTGTGAAATTATTTGCGGAATTATTGACTTCAAATTGAATAAGACGCATTTCAAAATGTCGAGTATCTAGCCGTCCTCTCGTGAAAAAGTCATTCGGTCGTTTTCTGATAAGTAGGTACCTACTGCGTCCCATACGACATCCAGTGGACGTCAATCTCTAGTCCAAACATCCATGGTCGTTGAATAAACATCCATTGTACGTATTGATATGGATGCTCAGTTTATCTACAGAAATGAACTATATCAACTGTTTCAGAATTGAACTTCCTGTGGCGTTCGATTTCAAGTTTACGTAAACAAATACATGGATGTACAAACATTGATTGATAGGACTAAAATGAACCAGAAATGTAATTACAAATTAATAAACGTTTACATTGGGTGTTCCAAAATAAACGTGAAAAAAACGTACAACCCTGTTTACTGAAAAACAATTTGAGTTGGTACCTGAATGATTGTGAACATGAAAGAGTGTTGTGTTCGTGTAAATGCATTTTTGAATATTCCATCTCCTTATGATTTCTGTGGGTACCCTGATAATGGTTCATGTTATGTGTTATGTATAATATAGGTTCAATATATAGCTAACATAGTTATGACTAATCATTCATTGCTCTGCTATATTGCGATCAACCTATATAGGCTCTTATTCATTTGTAACTGACGGCTTGGAAGATGAAATAATTTTGTAGCTATCGTATCGAATCGTGAGTTGATAAAAAGAAGTTGAGCTGAACGGGCTACAGACAAAATTTGCTGGTCTGTGAGCCTTGACTATGAAACACTATCAATATTTATACAACTCTTCTAAAAAATGCGTATAGTATGCAGAACACAGATATGATAAAGTAGTATAGTGGTAGTATATGGGGAGGCTACAACCAGGCAAGTAGGCTATCAAGGGCTCTCTTTGTCAATCCCCTCTCTACACATATCTACACATCCTTCTTCAAATCGTCCTTTCTGAACCTACGTGACCTTCTGATGATGGTCAGAAAGTCGGCCGACTCTAATACGACTGATAGTATGTCCCAAAGGAAAGTAAAAACACTGTAGTTCATCGAACGGCGCCTGTGCCAATCACTTTCCTGAGCAAAATAAAAAAATGCACTTTCCTGTGCAGAAATTTTGCACTCGATCTCGCAATTTGATAACGAGATGAAAATTACGCCATCTCTGATACCAATATATAATAATAATAATAATAATAATAATAATAATGTTTATTCATCAATATAACATGGTATTATAAAATGATTCGATGAATACCATGTAATGTATAAACAAGTACGAGTAAACCCATTAGAACCTTACGGTCGAGCATGGGTTATCTTTATATCATTGTTTACAAGTACATGTACATTCAAGGAATGATACACTTTTTGATCATATCATATCAATAGAATGATAGATCTCAAAAACCTACCTGTTACCTCACAGTCTGAGCCAAATCCACGGCACAGCGATTGATTTGCTCCTATTATTCCGGACATACCTCCGTCAAGTGATAACGGGTTGAAACAAGGAGCAAATGAGAAGGAGAAATGCACTTTCAATCTATATCTAAACGTACCGCGATTCAAACTGATCTGAGTTAGTGGCAGAGCGTCAATATGTCCGTGAATATATCGCCCTCGTCGAAAGATAATGTCCGATGGTCCAATGTGAAGCTCATGTGGAAGTATTTCCATCCACATATCGAATTTTATATTGGTCCATCGGATATTATCTTCAGAGGGGGACGAAATATTCTCGGAAGTATTGACTCTCTGCCACTAACTTAGATCAGTTTGAATCATGGCACGTTTGGATATTCGCTAAGGCGACACCATCCTTGTTTATCTGCTTCTTGTTCCAACCCGTTATCACATGACAAAAGTATATCCAGAATAACAGCAGCAAATAAATTGCTGTGACGTGGATTTGGCTCAGACTGAGGTATCGGTTAGCATGATCCTCATCTTTTTATCAGATCGCGAAATCTAGGTCAAAATTCTGCACAGGAAAGTGCAATTTTTCAATCATTTTCCTCAGGATAGTGATTGGCACAGGTGCCGTTCGATAAATTACAATGTTTTTGAATTCATTTGAGACATAAATTATTTCGTTATCAGATGACGGTCGGAATTTGCAGTCGACTCTTGGACTATAAAATCTTCTGTTGTAGTTCATCCATTTCAAAGATTTCAAATCTCATCCTTTCATACGCCTCAAACTCTCCGAGGAAGCGAAGTGACGTCTCCTCATCTTCTCCGCACATTCATGGCAAGTGGGACTATCTTCTACACCTATGAGTGATAGGTGTCTGCGCAACCTGTTGTGTCCTCATGCAAACAAATTTAATCACATGCAATCGTCAATATGAGTAGACAATGAATGTTGAATGACAATGAAATTGATATATGATTGTATTTGCTATTTGCTCTGGTTCATACTTATAACTGCACATCCACAATTCCTCAGGAGTGCTGCCCTCAGGTCATCCAGTAGATCTCCCATGGTTCATTTGGTGCGTCCAATGAATGTTCTGATGAAGAAAATCTATTGTGAGTTCAAGGGTTATAACATCCATCGTTCGTCCTATAGTATTGATATCCATTGTAAGTCCAGAGTGGCGACCTCACGACATCTAATGGATGTATAATAAACGTTCAATGTATAATCTTCTTCTTTCAATGGGCGATCTGAATATCCTAAATGGTCGTACTTTTTACGTACACATCATTGGATGTTGATGTGCTGTGTGCTTTATTGTGCGATATCCAAATTAGGTTTATACTTAATGATTCAGCCAAATGGTTGAGAGAGAAAATAAGGACGGGTCGATGTAATTATAGTTCGACGCACCGAAGAAGTCCTGGGACGGAAAGTAGAGGGTTTGATGACGTCGATATTATCAATTCATGAACGATGGGACTGACGGCACTTTCGATTTGATACCACCTTTTTCAGAGAGCGCTTGAGATTCCGTTCCCAAATTGACAGTGAGTTGATGTACGCATCATTTATATCGTGCTCCGGTCTCACATACTCTCCTGTGGTCATTTTTTAGAAGCCAAACTATATTTAGGTATACGAAAAATTTTTTCGGCATCCATTACAGAGATGAAGATTATCATGTGAAATTGCAATATGTATCGATCTTCAAGGAATGATTTATGATTATTTGCTGTGTCTCACTATCAAAGGTGACTATGAAGATAAAATTCAAAGAAATATGCTCATTCGGATTTTGACATGTAAGTAGACAATTTTCAAAACTGACGAAAGTTTTAAAACATCATAATTCATGTTACCAGTTGCGAAAAGTGAAAAATTACATGGCTGGTGATGAAATATTCATTTCAACACATGTTACGAAAAAAATGGATAGCCGAAGAGTATGAAGTGCATTTTATGCTGCTTCCTCAATATCACTTCGCTTCGCACGTCACAAAATGACGCGTTTTCTTACTGGATACGTGAATATCTATTTCATTGTTTTCCGAGATTTGGAAAGGTCAGGCAAAACACCATAGGAAAAAATCTCTAGTCTAGTCCTGAATGTTTTTATCTGGTAGTATGTCATCTTGAATTACGATGAATCATATCTTACAAAATTAATGAGAACTGTAGTGGGTTTTGGACTCAATTCTTTATTGGAGATGTATCGAAGAATAATTATTAAAAATATCGACAAGACCTTTTATTTTATTCCAAATCAATAGTGACAACTTCAGAAACAATTCATATACAGAATGACCAGAATCAACAAAGAGTTATTCACGAATGTATTTCAACAAAAATATCGTTCATAGAAGCGGAATTGCAATTCCACATAATAAATAATAAAAACTCCTCATATACCTACCTGTTCATTTATTCTATATCATTGGTGTCATCAAAAAATATGTACCTATGTGTGTGAATAATAAAAACAAAATTGTTCTTTTCGAATGAAGAACAATTATTGCAAGATTTTACCAAGATAGGCAGACAAGCAGAGGGATGAAGATGAGATGGAAGTGTGCAATGATGAAAGAAATAATCATCATGCATACCGATGTAGAAATTGTCCATTAACAGTTTTTCTGGTCGGAATTCTAACAGAAATGAACTTCATTGAAATGAATTACGGGGCACTCTATTTCTGATGCAAAGTTATTCATTTGAGTAGTATTTGACTAAAGTATGATGAAGCCGTAGCAAGCTCGATTATTGGGGATAACGTTCCAGGACGATCACGGAATATTATGATTGATATAGTAATGAAATGAGACTCATTCATGGTTTCTTCAACATAATTCAGACTAGCTCCTGAACTCAACTGACATTTCGTGTGAGTGAATTCTCACAAATGAGAAGAAATATGTTTCTGTCTCTGAGAGCTACAGCATCCCAAAGATGAGCCACTGGAAATGGTTTTCTTTTGATGTATTCGACACTGTTCGAAAGAAACGAAAGTCGTTATAAACGAGCACGATTTCAAGCTTGTTTGAAATTAGGGAAATGGAGACTGAAAAGAGGTCCAAAAATCAAAGACAACATTAAAAATGATTCAACATGTTCTGCGTATGAAAAAGGTGTTCATGTTAGTATTTCATAGGGTGTACTCAATTCGAAATTGATTGTGCGTGTTCACATGAAATTATTATCAATCAATATCTGTGACTCAATTGCTCAAGAGATATTCTCGGAACATTAGTAAAGCAGGAACTTAGGAAGTTCTTATAGATTGCGCCAAGTTTCGTTTCTGTATTTGAAACATTGAATCGTCACATGTTTCAGGAGCTCTAACTTCCTGAGGTTGACTATTATGCCCTAGAAGTGGTTCGGATTCCACTATAAGCTGTAGGTCCCGCTCTTCCTAACCCCCTAAGTTTCGACTTCTGGGGAGTTGGTTCCCAACTTTGAAGTAGCGATATACAAAAAAATAGTATGTCATGAAATCTCGATCGACGAATAATGTGATACATATTTCGAATACCAACCTACTGTTATAGGTAGAGGTACCCACCTGAATTTTCACACACTTGATCGCTGTCGATATTTCGTTCGATTGACATCAATGTGAATAGCTATGGAAAAAGTATGAGCCCACCATGATTCAGTAGTTCCAAATGGTGACTTATAAGCATTGTGAATTGCATCGAATTTGATTCTATGAAATATCTGATGAACTAGACCAAATATCTTAAGCAATCAGAACATCCATGGTTCAGGTATCAACTGATGGTACTATTGAGAAATAATCTAGAATATGGTCAGTGACGTACTGAAAATATTTTCAAAATATACATCTACAACAGTACTCAAAATATGTAGCACCCTGTATGTCGATCGAACTATGTTCCAACTCGCGTTGAATGCATAAAAATAACATTAAGGAATCTCAGAGCAACATCCAATAATGCCATCCGAGATTTTCATTGAAAATAATTTGTTTTGAACTCCATATAAACACGCACTGTTTCAAAGAGCATATGTTCATAGACAAGGACAATGAGATTCCATCGTGAATAATCGATTTCTGGATCATTATTCATTGGAATTCGATCACCCTATATAGTAGAGCAGCCAATCGTTCATCTGGTGTGGAATTGAAGGTGAGAAGCTGCGATATGAATAGACTGATCGTTTTTACCAACTAGTTCTAGAATCGACTTGTCCTGTACATATGTTTACAGCGGAAAATATTGTGAAATTGGTATAGTAAGGTATAATTGATTGGTCGTAAAAATATTTCAAAATTCCAAAATATACCATTAGACAATCGATGTTAGTATGGAGGAAAACTATTTAATAAAGGTACTGCTCGGAATTCGAGAGGTTTCTCAAATTCGAATATCGAATCATTGAATAAGTCATGTATTGTCTGGAATCTCCATCTGATGCAGGCACCATGAACACAAACGAATGTAACAAGTTTCATCCCCGGACTCCCAACTCACTTTGTATTTCAGCGTCATGAAAAAACCTAGGGTAGATTTCCTATCATTAAAATGAGCAAAAATCCCCATGAATTCTTTCGAGTTGATAATATAAAACCAGATCTGGCAATCCACTTTGTTATTCTGTAACGCGATAACTACGGGTTTCCACACTATGGCATTTTATGAGCGAGGTCAACGCAGTCAACTGTTCATTGGGACAAATGAAAGAGTTTCTTGCCCACGTCTTCTCAGTCTTGTAATATGTCCCCTTCAGAATTAGTATTTATGAATACGTATTGAATTTTTCCCAATTCTTTATGGAAGTAGAATATTATATCACTAGCATATTAGAAGTTAGTCAATGCATTGTATACCACAAGCGTCTAGCTCCACCAAGCAATACGTTCCCGCAGTTCCAAAGCCAGCCGATCATCGTCCTATCATTCACCGATGATGCATAGAGGACGCCAAAATTTTAAAACAATAATAATAAATATTTATTGATCAAGCGTGATTCTCAGAAAGATCTAAAATCGAAGTCAACCTGGTGAACAAATTATTGCTGAACATTTTGCGAGCTCCATATTAAGACAAATTGTATTAGCATAAGTATAGTTTGTTCACCTCAGAAAATTCCGAATGAACACAAGATATGTACTCATGAGAACTTTTACACTGAAATTCCTATGTTTTTGATGGATACCTAAAATCGGTTGCAATATCCCCACGCTCATGTATCAGGAACAGCTTTTCCGGTTTTGTAAAGACGTGTCTCTGTTGAATATGTTCATTATGAGATATTTTGCGTATCACAGGGTATCTTGTTAGAAGATGTCATATTGGTTTTCCTACTACCCGTCGCAATCAATTTCGGCAGTACCAATATCGATGATAACTTCAAATAACAAGTTGTTTTAAGAAAAAGTACTTGAATATATCGTATATTTACCACATTTTCCTACAACCTGAATGAAACTTGTTTCACAGGTTATCTTGAATTACTTAATCGTAAAACGATTTTTCACAAATTTCCAGCTATGTTCTGTAATGCAACACAACAGTTTTATCAACAATGAAACGATGAAAGAAATATTGAAATCATACTTACCCAACCACAAATAGAGTTCAGACTTAGATGTTAAAAATTCCGTCCGTATTCAAATCCTCAGTTGATACAAGAAACTACCCGAATTGGACAAAGCGTGGGACGACATGGGCGTATCAGAACATTTCAAAGGAGCCTAGAATATATGAATAAATAAACGGTGGATTACTTATTGATAATCTTCGGAAAGAACACATCTCTAGGCATTTTACTCACCCACTTAACAAAAGCAAAACCTGGCGATATTCAACTACACTAATCATGAACCTCAGCTAACCACAGCACCCTAACAAGCTCTGAACATTCATGATACGTCGCTGGCGTGCTTCCATCGAATCGGATCTATTCGTGTTTTCTCTCTCTTTGCCTATCATTGTACCATCTAAGTAGCGTCTGAATGAAGGAAATATATAAGGCTTGTTCGCGTTCAAAATATAAACAGTCCGAAATCATCAGGAGCATGTGCAGGTTCACAGAACGGTACACACTTTTCAAGTTCCGTGGAACTACGCATGCTTCTGATGGTTTATTTTTCGAATGCGAACAAACCTATTGAATCTCTGGTCTGAGTTATCAACAAACGCGCACGAGAAAGTACACGATATAATGAGCATCATGCGTCCATTGTGAGCTTGTTGAAATTATGATTCAATTTTTAGCCAACATTGCTGCTTGTCGCTCCTACCTCTCTGCTGCCACGAGATACTCGGAACGAACAAAAGCCGTCTCCATGATATCCTTAGCACAGGTGCTGGGGTTTGTCATCGGTCCGGCCATCCAGGCAGCAGTAGTGCCCCTAGGAGGAGAAGGCACCTGGCTCATCAAAAACCATCTGAAGCTAAATATGTACACGGCTTCTGGATGGATCAATGTGTTCCTGTCCTTACTCAATATCTACCTTTTCTTTCCTAAAGTGTTCAAGGAACATAGAATAGCTGTCAAGGAAGCTATGTTGAAGCACGGAAAGAATAATGTACATGAAACTTGGAAGGAGGAGACCCCAAATTATTTTTCGGCTTGGTCTTTAATCGTTGCGTTTTTCGTAATTGTTTTCAATTTCATGCTGTTGGAGACTCTCGCGACACCTGTGACAATGGATCAGTTTGGGTGGTCGAAAAGTGAGTCATTATGGTGAGTTTATCAGAAAAATAATACTTCTAGAATAAATTATGTTTGATGATGATTCTAACCAGCTGTTTGTGCAACCCTACAAATTGGGGGCTCAGATCTTCTCGACCTCATGTTATCTTGCCTCACATCTCGAACATGCAAAGTACTAGCTCATAGTTAGTGAAAGTTTGTCTGATCTCTTAGATAAGAACATTGAATAGGTACTGCTTCATGATACAAGGCAACGCACTTAGGTAGAGGCTCTTGTAGACTATACAAAGTGTCTTCACAGCTGGTGCATATTCTATTACAGGACGTAAAACTAATGAAAATAAACCATCCCACCAAGAATCGCATGTATAAAAGTTGATAAATAATAAAGAAGACTAGCAACAGAGAATTTATTAATTTGTCATTTGGGCGGTCCGGTGGCCGAGAATGCAAAGGCAGAGTGCAATGCAATGAAAAACAAAAAACTTCAAATAAATGTGATCATGGACCTGGTGCTGTGATCACTCGATCAATGATCGATCGCGGGCGTACAGAATGAAGAAACTATGGAATTACTTATCAATTCAGCTGTTTTCTTCAATGGGGACACGGGGAGACAACTTTCCTCTCTCTGGTGCAAGGTAGAAATGAGCTCAATTGTTCATTGTCGCAGAAACGATGACAGTGAATTACATTTGATAGGTCAACGGTCGAAAGTATATTGTGATAGAATAAAGGAAAGAAGAGGGTACTGTTCGTGTGATCTTTGAATACTCATGCTCAAGTAATTGCTCATCCTCAAATTCAATTTCCTTTTATAGGGTCTAGGACATTAGTAGGTGCCATTGAATAATTTGAGTTTTATGACATTTGAAAATCGACACAATATTATTCCACAAATCTGGTGCTTTAATTTTGATCGACGTATCTCGAAAATGGTGGTGGATGAATGAATATATATGGATCAGGGATTCCAGGTAGGCTAGGTCGGGTTGTCACGAACAGGGGCAATTGGAAACACAAGACAATTTGGCTTTGGTTCAGCTGAAAAATATTATGTTCGATCTTGCTTTATATTATGAAAAGTTGTCGAGCAAAAATTTGAACTGAAAACTTTCTTCCGCAAAAGAAGTGGATATTGGTCAAGATAAGCTGTATTATATATACAGTGTGTATACGTTGAGGACTCATATGTGAAATCTTTATTATCTGATCGATGTGAATTTTTTTTTGGTCAGGTTTTCGAAGTGTCTACCCAAAATTAAAGTGATGATATATTTTGACTATTATAGTAGCCGACTGCGACCAATTTCATTGACCCATATTTCAAAAAGTAGTATGAGGGATTCCTCATCATGAAAAATATTGATGGATTCTGAATCAGGACCACTTGAAACATACCAATACTGATTTTCATCCGAAGAAACAAATTATTAGTTCTTTAATATTTCGATCTAGAATTCATCATTATTCCTCAAGTTGAGCATTATCATAATAAGTTCATTTTTTCTCAGACTCATTGTATATCTGGATGTTGAGAATCGGTACAGATACGTCTGAATCAGCCCTCAATAACAATTTGTCATTATTTTAATATCCTCAGGGACATTGTGACTCGGAATATCATTAGTTCAAGAACAGAAGAACATAATATATATCATCGATTTTGTTCTATATGTTCACAAATACCTCCTGAAAAGTTCAACAGGACTCATATTAACGACCAACATGATGTTCACGATTACCTCCTAATTTCCAATAATTTATTTTATCGACTTGTTCCAAAAATTTATCATTTCGATGAATTCTCTGACATTATTATCGCTATGCCAATCATATACATATACAGGGTGTCCGGAGATAAAACCGACAAAACTCATGGGGTTATAGGGACTGTCAATATGATTGCAGAATGCCATAAACGAATGTCCAAAACCGCTTCGTTACTGAGATACAGAGTGATTTGTGGATTTTGACAAAAAATTCAATCCGCCATATCAAATACAGGGATTAACCGATTAGATTCAAATTTGGTACACGAATTACACTGAAATGCATCAACAAGTAGCCTCTTGATCGAAACCAATATCAGGACCGGAATGATATTTTTTTGCTATGTTGAGTTATTGTTAGAATAACTCACCCTGTATAATAGTAACCAAAAATTTCACCTCAGATTCGAAATCTGCGGTGAAAATTGTATAGGAATTTGTTGAAAAATCTCTTGGCACTATCTTAGTTATTTCGTAATTGATTATCATTTTAATTATTTTCATTCAAAAATCAATTATTGTCGGATAAAGTACCATCAAAATTGGTAATGAAATAAATATTAACGAAACCATGACATGAATATAGTTATTTTCTTCAATCAGTTCGTGAATCGTAGTGAAATAAATTACTCTCATGACCCGAAAAAACTGAAAAATAAATTCGTATCAGGACTGGAATGAGGTTGTCTATGATTATATTCCTGTAAGAATAGATGATCTAGTATAACAATGATCTGATCGCAGATTCGAAATGCACTGAGAAAAGTTAAAAACTTGTTGAAAAATGATCGGACTGAACTTTCAAATAATAAATCCGTATCAGTACCTTATAATGTTTGTGTATAAAGAATACTAGGCTTGTTGTTAAATTCAGAATTTCATTATGGAAAACCATTGTTTACCTGTCATCAGCGGTTGTTTTATTGGTGTTCATTCATTATTCCAGTGTTTTTGGATCAAACTATAGTTCTGAGAGTGTTTTTATGATGCCGTTTCATCTCACTAATGAGGAATACGCAGATATTTTATTTTTGTATGGGCTTTAACTGGTGATGTTTACCTAAATGTCTATTGCAAGGTGTAAATACCTGGGGTATGTAGTTCCAGCATGATGGTGCTAGACCTCACTTTTCAGTTCCAGTTAGAAACCATCTCGATGCCAATTACCCCAATAGATGGATTGGCCGTGGAGGTTCAGTAAATTGGCCACCGCTATCCCCTGATCTAACTCAGCTAGATTAATTTTTATGAGGTCGTTTAAAGTAAGAGGTTCATAATGAAGAAATTTGAATGAGAGAAATTGTATTATGGAAAATCACTGCTGCCTGTGTTAGTGTTAGAAATAACCCTCAAATAATTCGCAAGTCAGTGAATCATCTAGTAGCACGATCTCAAAAATGTATTGATGCTGGAGGGCTCCACTTCGAAAATGTTCTGTAATACTGGGTAGTGAAAGTTTTTTACGAATTCATGGGTTTTGTTATGTTCATTACAAACAGTTATTGTTCTTTGTGTAGTATTTTCATAAATTCAAATTCATTAGTGAGCGAAAATAACTTACGAAAACTTCACTCTTATCCTTTTTCAATAGGTTCTTATACGATTTTTTAAGATTTCGAATCTACGATCAAATTATTGATAACTATTGATGTACTAGGTCAGCTAACATAAACAAACAAAAAACTCATTCTAGTCCTGATACGAATTTATTCTTCAGTTTTTTCGGGTTATGAAAATATTTCATTTCACTTCGATTTATGAACTGATTGAAGAAAATAACGACATTCATGTTATGGTTTCGTAAATATTCATTGTATTACCAATTTTGGTGGTATTTCATCCGAAAATAATTGATTTTTTAATGAAAAAAATTGAAATAATAATTAATTACGGAATAACTAAGATAGTGCCAGAAGATTTTTCAACAAATTCCTTTACAATTTTCACCGTAGATTTCGAATCTGAGGTGAAATTTTTGGTTACTATTATACAGGGTGAGTTATTCTAACAATAACTCAACATAGGGAAAAAATATTATTACGGTCCTGATATTGGTTTCGATCAAAGGGCTACTTGTTGATGCTTTTCAGTGTAATTCGTGTACGAAATTTGAATCTAATCGGTTAATCCCTGTATTTGATATGGCGGATTGAATTTTTTGTCAAAATCCACAAATCACTCTGTATCTCAGTAACGAAGCGGTTTTGGACATTCGTTTATGGCATTCTGCAATCATATCGACAGTCCCTATCACCCCATGAGTTTTGTCGGTTTTATCTCCGGACACCCTGTATACTAAACACTTCAAACAAACGGCACTCAAAAAACTAGGTTATGAATTCATTTATAGATTTCAACAGATTTCAAAGTGTTATTTTTTGTGAAAACCGTTTACCAATAGCTCAACTAGCCTATTTGAAATTATCGATTATAGATATCAGAAAATCGATGTGGAATGTAATACTATACTATAAGGATGATGAGTTATCATTAACAGTACAAACTTTGATACATGCAATAATGTGCTATCAATTCCAATACTTTCTAGTTTGTTTGCGGTCTGGATCGTGCTCACTGGCTAAGTGTCGAGCGGGCAAAAGAGGTCCTGAAAGTGGTTCGAATATAGTTCTAATGACGGACCTGCAACTATAGTTTCTGATAGTCGAGATGTATACAAGGAACGATTTGAGACACTCTTTCTCAAGTGATTCTTACGTAGACTGAACAGGAAGAAATGAGAAGAATGAAACTTGTCTGATTCCATTTTGTACCCCAAAATGAACAGAAATAATATTTTAAGCACAAGTAGTTGAAATCGTCTGTACACGAATAGAACGTTCATCGTTCAGTAGACATTTTGATGATCTTTTCAGAAATGAAAAAACATTTTTAAGTTGACATGTATAGGGTGTTGTTTTAGGACAGCGAGATTTTGTAGATTCAAAGTGGAGTCGGACCTGAATTTCATATTTCGTTGATAAGATAGATTAGAAGTGTGCAAGTCCTAAGAAAAATATATTAAGTTGACTGAAAACTTATGAGACAATAAAGACATGGGCGAAATTGATGAAACCTCCCGTATCTTGGTTATATAGGATGTGGAAGACCCATATTGACCATGGGTTTGTTGAGATCACCTCAGTGACCCAGTTGAAGTATTCACGTTCCCCAATGGAACACTATGTATGATATATTTCTTTTTATCATTTCGACTGAATATTTGTGGTCAAGATTCGAAAATCGATTGGGAATTGACCCAATCTGAAGATACACTTCCATTATAAAAAAATAGAGAAATATTCTGAGAAGTTGTTCTCAAATAAAAACAGTTTACTTAGATGAATATCACACCTTGCAATATCACCATCCTCTCAGATGAAATATTCTATATTCCTCATTTTCTGCATATTATATTGCAGAGGCCCATTGAAGTTTTGAATCATTCATGACCATAAACTGGATGAGGTTGTGAATCAGTCGTTTTTCAGAATTTACCTACCAATACACACCTGATTTTTGTGTTCGGAAGTAGGTTATGATAATGCTTTCATTAAACCAAATCAGAATGTACACTCAAAATAAATCAGTCGAGACGTTTTTCTTCACTTTACTACGATAATAGAAGTGCAGTTTCTTATTATGGGCAACAAGAATCTGAGAATGTTTTCGAAAAATCTGGAAGTATTGGAGCAAATTCTTTAATTTTTTTAGGTACATGGGAATCTTGATGTCAGTCGGTGCCATTTTAGCAATAGTTACTTTCGCATCTATTGCACCCCTATCACGAAGATTTCCAGAAGTTAAAATCATGATATGGGGTGGATTCTTTTTCATGGTATTAGGAAGGATATTATTTATACCGTTTTATGGTAACCCTCCCAAAACTTACGATGCTGTGTTCAAGTTGAACTTGACAATATATTGTGATATGGCCTCAAGAAATGAGACTTATGGTATGGATTTTCATCATTTGAATGAGACATTGAGATCATATGACCGATTTCTGAACCCGGCATCGGTACGAAATGAAACTGCTGTCAGAATTTCCACACTTAGCTGTGGAGAAGATCTTCTAGGATGTCCAAATAGTCAAGAATGGTGTGCATATACGCCACGATTGAAGCTGTCACAGTTTCTATTGGGATATTTCTTGACTGCGTTCGGATATCCTATTGGGGTGACGTTGATTCAGACGATATTCTCCAAGTTATTAGGATCTCGTCCACAGGTGAGTAACATATCTTTTATGTTGATATGATATGATTTTATTATTCATTTTTTATCTACTCTAAATCACTAAGTGACGAAAAAACTAATAAACATTGGAAATCATCAATATCAGGAAACAAGTTTGAATTGGAAATTTTCATCCTGTATTTCATTGAGAGGCGAATTTTCGAAAACGTCTCGAGTTAATGGTCTAATATAAATAATGGATATCGAGAAGGCCGTTTCTGAATATACTGGATCGAATGGGCCATAGTTTTAGTCACCATTTTTGATTTTTTTCATTGAAATGAGATTTTGTCCTATTTTCTTATCATCCTTTATATTCCAAAGAAGTGCTTTTTTTGTCTTTCATTATCCTCCATAAAACATGAGAAAAGTTCTTCCCAATAGTCAGCTCAAGTGGAGTTCTAGAGAAAAAAATCAAGAAATGCAAGACTTTCGAAAAAAAAATCGAATTTTTGTTCCAATGGCCAATTAAGGAGAAATCACGAAAACGTCCCGAGATGAGGTCCCAGTGTATCATAATATGACTGACTTTTCATCAGAAAAAAATTTCTCGAGTTCTAGCAGCATTGGAAATGTAGACCATAGTGTAATGGTTCTACTTTACACCCTGTGTAAGTTTTGTTTCGCGGACTTTTTCAGATTGTTCCAGCTCTCTTTGAAGCCGATGAAACATCACATCTGATATCGAAAACTGCATGAAGATCGGTCAATTTTTAAAAAAAATACAGGTCTTCGAAATAGAGTCAAATTATGAGTGGTCCATTTGGTGTGTTGAGAACTGTATATTATCAAAATATGCGCGGACTGAGAACCAAAACTACAGATCTTTTAAACTCTAGTACAGCGAGCAATTACAGCTGCATATATAGCAATTACCGAAACTTGGCTTGTACCGAGCGTAGGTAGCGCGGAATTATTCGACTTGAATCGTTTCACAGTTTTTCGTTGTGATTGCGATTTTGCAAATACCGACCGTTCTAGAGGTGGTGGAGTCGCGTTGGCTATAGATTCGACTGTCAAGTCGATTGACTTGAATCTGAAAGCATCGTCAGACATTAGCGATCTGCATATAATAGATATTTTGGGGGTAAAACTGTCAATTGGATTTCAAACATATCATGTCATCGTCTTATATATCCCACCTAGTACATCACCAGATATTTATGATCATCTCTATGAGATATTGAGTACTCTTGATTTTATTCACAGCGGCAATGTTATGATCATTGGAGATTTCAACATAAGTGAATACTCTGATTATCTGATTAGTGGTCAAAAAAATACGCTTATCTCAACTATTTTGAATTTTTGTAGCTTTATCAACCTTGATCAATACAACCTAGTAAAGAATGCAAATGACCGTATCCTTGACCTAGTCTTTGCTTATTTCAAATGCACAGTACAGTCTGCCCCTGATGTTCTTTTGAAGGAAGACACACATCATCCCTCTCTGCTCATTTTCTTTGATGTATGCAGAGAAAAACTCGACAAAGTCAACGTGAATAATTTTTACTACAATTATAAGAAAGCCGACCTGGTCGCCCTTTATCAAAATATTGCAAACGAGGATTGGTCTTTTCTCAATGCCATTACTGATGTCGATTATGCATTTGAAAAATTCTACGAGAAAATGTATTCCATTATTAATATGGTTGTTCCGCAAGGGAGGGTGAACCAAAGGTCATACCCCCCTTGGGTACACCAGTAATATTATAAAATGTATCAGGCTGAAGTATAACGCATGGAAAAAGTATAAAAATACTAATGATCCACTTGCACTCGAAGAGTTCTCATCATTGAGAAGGCGCTTGAAATATGATATCGAAATAAATCACACACAGTATTGTCGAGAGATTGAGAGAAATATAAGCAATGACCCGAAAAAATTCTGGCAGTACGTTAAAAATAAAAGGACTTGTTATTCATTACCTAATGCAATGAACTATAAGAATGGAAACTGTGATGATCCGAAAAGCATTGCGAATGCATTTGCAGACTTCTTTCAAGGCTCATATTCTCCTGTTAATGCAAATAATTCCTTTCCGCAGCAAGATCTAGGTGATGATTGCCTTAGAATAAAAAACCTCTCTGAAAAAGAAGTGGCATTCGCTTTAAAGAAGCTGAAACCAAGAAATACAATGGGCCCTGATAAAATTCCTGCATTTTTGCTACACGATTGTGCTACAGTTCTTGCGGAACCTTTAACAAAGCTTTTCAATCTGTCACTCTCTTCCAAGACTTTTCCAATGTCATTAAAACAAGCAAAACTTGTACCAGTGCATAGAAAGGGAGATAAACACGATGTCCTAAATCACAGACCTATCACAATAATAAACAATTTCTCGAAAGTGTTCGAAATAGTGATTTACCAGACAATTTTCTATCATGTTAAGAACCAAAATACAGAATCTCAACATGGTTTCATGAGAGGAAGATCAACTTCAACAAATTTATTCTGCTCAACACAAAGTATATGTAATGCATTTGATGAGGATGCACAAGTGGATGTTATCTACACAGACTTTTCTAAGGCTTTCGACAAACTTGATCACTTTCTTCTTCTTAGTAAATTACATAAATTTCAGCTGTCGTTTGATGTACTTGATTTTTTATCATCCTATTTAATTAACCGATCCCAATTTGTTGACTGCAGTGGACATAAGTCTGTGGAGTTTTCACCCACTTCGGGAGTCCCTCAGGGATCCGTATTAGGGCCATTACGTTTCATCATATTCGTCAATGATATAATACATGACATCAATGCGGATTGCCTGAGCAGATGATCTGAAATTATTCACCAGAATCACAGAACATAATGATTGTCTTTCTCTTCAGGAAGACCTGACAAAAATTAATGACTGGTGTACACGAAATCGCCTGCTACTGAATGTTTCTAAATGTTGCATCGTTTCATTTTCCCTAAAACGCACTGTTACGCACTTCGATTACAATGTCAACAACACTGCTTCAGCCAGAACCTCTACTATACGTGACCTTGGTGTTACATTTGACCAGAAATTATCTTTTGCAGATCATATCCAACGAATCACGAAGGAGTCATTCAAGGCATTAGGATTTGTTATTCGAAATTCCGCTAACTTCAAAGATATCAGTACATATAAACAACTTTTTCTATATGTTAGGTCAAAATTAGAATATGCCTCTGTTGTTTGGTCTCCGCATCATATCACTCATATAGAAACATTGGAGAGAGTTCAAAGGCGATTTCTGAAGTTTCTTGCTTTTAAAGAAGATGGGACTTATCCTCACAATGGATATCCTGAGGTTGAACTCACTCGGAGGTTTGATATTAACCTATTAGTAAATCGCAGAATGATTGCACAACAGGTGTTTTTCTGGAAAATACTCCATGGGCACACTGATTGTGCAAATATTCTTCACATGCTTGATTTTCACATTCCTAGGCTAACAAGTAGACAACATATTTCATTCCATCTACCGATTCCGCGCTTAAATACGATGAAATTTTCACCACTGCATACCATATGCAAGATACATGACGAGCATGTATCGCATCAAATAGACATATTCTCCTGTACTGTGGCATCAATAAAAAAGTTAAATTTTGGATAAAATTTTCAAATTTTTGATAACTCTCAACTTTGTATCGTCATCAATATTTCATCTCAAACATTTGTACTTGTTATATTGTTGAATATTATGTACTCATTATCCCTACTCTGTAATTGGATGTATATCTGTTGAGTAGTGTACTTAAATAAAAAAAAAAAAATATTTTCGAGAAAAGCTAAGTGAGGTATCGTGAAATACTGAGTAATGAATATATTGCCCTTATACAGGGTATGTCAGGACGAGCTTGCACTATCTTTATATGGAGAATCAGTTGGGAGAAATACATGAAAATCTGCATGTTCATATTTTAGAATACGCTCTCTTCATTTAAAATATTTTCGACAATGCAGTGTTGCCGCTTCTACTAGAAAGTAGTAGCAACATTGATATTCCAAATGGAATACCCTTTATTTTATCGCATTTTTAGGTTCTCCCTGAAGAGCTGATTTCATCGATGTATCAAACTTGGGGGTCTATCAGAAAATATTACAGAGATATAGAGTGTTGAAAATCGAGATTTTTCAACTTTAGGATTTCTTTGTGTCGAAACTATTCATTATCGGTGAAAACGGCTCACATGTCCTAATCTCAATTTTTGATTCACTATTTACTGATATTTTATCGGAACAGATACAGGGTGGTTCAAGATTTAGAATTCTGATCACCCTGTATCTGGTCCTATTAATTATCACCGAATGATAAATCAGAAGTTGAGATAGGGACATGTGAGCCGTTTTGGCCGATAATGAATAGTTTCGTCACCAACTAATCCTAAAGTTGAAAAATCTCGATTTTCAACACCCTATATATCTGTAATCATTTCCGATAAATCATAAGTGTGATGTATCGATGAAATCAGCTCTTCAGGGAGAATCTGAAAATGCAATAAAATATGGAGTATTCCATTTTGAATAACAAAGTTGTTGCTACTTTTTGATAGAAGCGGCAACACTGCATTTCTGAAAATATTTTAATGAGAAGAACGTATTCAAAAATATAAGAATGCATATTTTCACGGATATAAAGTGAGCTTGTCGTGACATATCCTGTATGTAATGGGCAAATTTCCAATATTGAGGTTTTTATCTCACTGTGAAGTTCGTAGAAATTTTATAAAGACGTGATTCTGCATTTTTTTTAACATCAAAATACAATCCAGAAAAAAATAAATTAGAGAGGAACTTGGCTCCTTCACCATTCCTATGACGTATACTTTCATCGGTAGTTTGTTCGATATTTTTTTAACAATCTGGTCGAACTGTGACAAAATAAAAACTCACATTTGTCGTGTTCTTCCTGATCTTCCTAATTCTGATGGGAGTTTCTGAAACAAAAAACGATCCGGAAAGTATAAATTAGGTATGACATTTATAGAGAAAATGAATTCGCCAAATCCTGCTCTGGATTTTTATTCCATAGTAAGCCATCTCAAGGAGTGTCAGTAGAGGTGAGTTGCTAGCGAATTTCAGACGATAAAACCAATACGTTTGAAATATCTTTCATCAAAGTTTCGCGCCGAATCCAAATAATGCCCTGAATTTCTGTTACGAATTGGCAAGATATATTTTTTCACATATTCATCAACTCATCTTGAATCTCTCATCAGCCATCAGGCTATGGCTGGTTAGTCATGATTCACCCTGTATAAACACCCAAACACAACCCCTCACTCATGCACAGACACACAAAGACAATTTTTGTAAACGAATTCTCACTACCGATTAAATGGATTACATGAACTCATGACAGATGGAGTTCATATTCGCTCTAAATGCAGTGAAATTTTCAAGGCAACAATGGATGCTCAAAATCATTGGAAGTGAGCAGATGATTTTGAGCATTCATTAGTTCTTTCTGAATCAATAATAACCTTTTTCATAATAGGAAAATTCAATCAATGAGTAGTTTCAATTTTTTAGGGTGTTTGGATGGGTCTCATGACTGGTTCTGGGTGCCTTTCCAGGGTAATGGGACCAGTATTCGTAACATACATCTATGAAGAATATGGCACAATTTGGACTTTCACACTTACAACAGTTATGATGGCAGGTTGCCTTATTTGGTTGCTCTCATTCCAGGAGATTTTGAATCCTATTGATGTCAAACCAACCGTTGAAGACGAAGGCCAGGAATTGAAGGAAATTACTAGATTCGTTTCAGTTGATTTGAACGAAATCGAGCAGCAAGACTGATAAATACATATATATTTTTTAAATATATTTCGAATTATATAAGAGTTTCCGGCCTGAATCAGAATACTCCAGACTGACTTAGTTTCCAATGATCTTCGATCTTCCGGTATTATTGAACTTGTATTGTGAACTGATATTAAAATACAGTGTACCTACTTATTGTACCTGAATATTGATTATGTAATTATGATTACCTCACATATTTAGGATCAATATTTCAGAATTTTTATTAGCCAATGAAATCTAGTGAACCACAAATTGTATTGGTATTATATATACTAATATATGCAGGGTGTCCCGAAATTGGCCTGCGAAACTCCAGTAGCAGATTCTTCGACAAGAAAAATGGCTTCTAAAGGAGCTACAGTCTCCTTGAAGGAGGCTTCTTAAAATAATATTTCCTGAATATTTCCCAAACTTCATGACTGTGATGAACTGATGCAAAAACTAAACTTTCCATGCCCAATGCAGTGATAATGATATAATTTCAAAATTTCATTCAGGAGTGTTAAATGCAGGGTGGAAATAAAATTGAATATTATTCAAACTTTTCCGTATGCATATTTCTCGACAATTTCTTCTCGGATTTTGAAAATCCACACCGTTTTACAGAAAAAAGGTGCTCCTGTTTCGTATCGTCCAGATGTATCATTTTCGAGTGGAATCGATTCGAAATTATTGTTACACCCACATCTTTTGCATAACGTTGCCAATTTCCGAATCATATACCCGAAATTAGCCTGCTATAATTCAACAGCAGATTGAAAAATGAGAAAAAAAAGTTGGCATAAGCTTGGGTCGACAAATGCTTCATAAAGGGGCCACAGCCCCTTAGGTGAGTCCCTGAAGATGGTTTTACTCGGTGCATGCTAGTGCTGTCAAGCACCTTTTTTCTGTTAAACACCTTGGAATTTTATGGGAAGGCAACATTGGGACGTCCTTGCAGAACGTTCTAGGGATGTACCGGGTATTACTATAAGTATATTATTGGAAAGACCTCCCATGAGCCTACCATTATCTACTTGGAAGATATCCCTAGGACAGCCTCTTTCGGGACACAGGATATATAGGGACGGCACAGGGACATCCACTGGCCGCGAAAAAGGCAGTACGTTCTAGGAATGTACCGGATACTATTCGAAAGACCTCCCATGGGTATACCATTGTATGGACACGGGACACACTAGGAACGACTAAGGGGGATACTAGAAACGACTGAGAGACATACTAGGGAGGGCTCGAAGGCACATACTAGGGACGACTAAGGGACTGAGGATGTTCACAGACATTATACCTAGATTAAAAATGAATGTTCATAATTTTCACAGATGAATCACTAGTCGGTATCAAATGAAATTCAAATAGAGATATAATGAGTATAAACTCACTAGGAAAAGTGATATCTCAACAATATTGCAGCAGTATTCCAATGTAATGTGCAATGTTACATCTGATATTGTTGTTATCTCACTGCAATGTCGCAGCAACTACTAAATGAACAATGCAGCAATCAGGAGCTTGTATCCATTGTTGGCGAGGAGTTCCTCGCTAACTATGGACAACGAGCTACTGATTCATAAACAGATAATGCGACCTAACCTAACGTAGGCCTCTCTGTTGTTCTGTCGTATTTCGCCTACTCATATGAGTATGTTACAAATACTACAGAATAAGGTACCTCGTATCATTACCAATGGCAAAAGATACTCTTGAGTGGTGGACATGCACTTTTTCAACTAAACTTTTTCGATATTCGAACAAATGAGCCTACTTTCAGCAATTAATTTGAAAAAATGTCACTTTTGACATGTAGCGAAAGTCACGTGACCCCGATTGAGTAGGCCATTTTCCAATTTTTTTTGAAGCAAAACTCAACTTCCAACTCGAATTTCAAAATAAGTCATTAATAAAAGTTTTTCCCATATGATGCCGACTTTATGAATGGCACTGTAGTAGCGCTACACCCTAACTCACAACCTGTATCTGGTGTTATATGAGAAAAACTTGAGGCAGGTATAATAGTTATTTGTTTCACTAGGCAGAATAGTAGAAGATTTAATGCCGCGGCTGGCGTTTCATAGTCGAGGCTAGAAAACCAGACGAGGCATTACATCTTCTTTTCTGCCATGTGAAACATAATTTTTTCTCCAAATTCTTCTCAAGTCCAAATAATCCATCATTCATTTTTTAATCCAAAGTCATTGTCAATTTTGATTACCAATTTATTGATTCAAATTAGTTGGAACGTTTCATAGCAACATACTTGTTCTGCCTAGGCACTAAAAGTACACTGTTTTTTGCCTGTCAAATGTCATTAAAAATTCACTCTCAATGTCATTTGGAGAAAAATAGTAATTTGTCATATAAGGGAAAAAAGTAGTAGATTTTAGCTCCAGGTTGTGTTGTGTGGAGACCAAAAAGCTGAGCTGAATTCAAATATTTTTCTCGTGTATGATACACTATTTTTTTCTGTGACAGAAGAAAGAACGAATCAATATTGAGAAGATATTACATTATTCTGAAATCTGAAAATTATCGACGTGAAATTTCAACACCTGCGTTGTAAACATCTTCATCATTCTTTTGAAGTAATCAAATATCTAATGTCACTTCTGTCAGTCTAATTCTGTGAGTTGATTTCAAAGAATTGCAAATTTAGTGGTTGTTTAGTAATATACGTAACCGCGAAGTCGAATGGAAGATAAAATGACTTGCAGTTCTTTCTCGGAGACGGTATTATTGACTCATTTTTCGGAATTATAGCACAACAAAAGTCATCAACAGTGTATATATATGTGATAGGGTGTCCCACTAAGGTCGGCGAGGTACGATATTACGGAAGCCATTAACTTTACAGCTTCGGGAAAAAAAATCTATCGATGAAATTGGCAAAGAGAAATTGATTTAAAATATTTTCAAGTTTCTCAAATAACCGGTAGGGGGCGAAGTTACCATGATAAAACAAGAAATTCAAATTATCTCAGGAAATCGCTCGGTGATCGAGGTACTCTTTTGATAACGGAAATGAAAAGATCATTAATTTTGGGTCAGGTTGGTACATGGACTTTTTTTCGTATCTTGAATAATAATGGTGGGGGAAGCTTGTGAACAAAATATTTTTTGAATTGCTGTATCTTCCATACCCTTCATCCAAATTCAATCAACTTGGGCTCGTTTGAAAGATAATTTCACTCTTATTTCAAAACTGACTTTGTTTATGGTCGCTAGTTCACACCGCGTCTTATAGAGGGCGCAGTTTACTAACCATTCCTTTTTTCGATTTTTCTCGAAAAATTCAAATGGAATGATACATGTTCAAATCATTGGTTCAGAAGGGCATCAAAATAGCTGCATTTTAGTGCTAACCGCGATTCGATATCTTCATTTGTCTTCAAGTTATTCACGAATAACTAATTTTTATGTATGGTATCTTCAGTGAGTGGGCCTTGCGAACAAAATTATTAATTATAATCCTAATTCTTTGCTCTAGTAGTGAAAAAGGTTATCCTTACATTCCTTAACCTCTTGTTGCATTTGTGCATTGGATTAATATTTAAATGCCACTTACTTCAGAAACAAAAATGTAGACTATGTCAACAATAATTGAACTGCAAAAACGAAAATTATAATTTATTCAGGAAATTCGACATAAACGACATCTTCAAAATGAACGCATAAAATGATGTCCTCACATCAAGTGTTCGAAATGCATCCCATTATTTTCAATGCAGCGATTCAATCTGCGTTGACGTTCAATTATTTTCACAGATATCATGATTGAAGTGAATAAATAGTGTATTCTTTTTAAGAAATGATTTTTCAATGGACAATAAGTTATTCGCGAATAACTCGAAGACAAATGAAGATATCGAATCGCGGTTTTTGCTAAAATGTAGCTATTTTGATGCTCTTCTGAACCAATGATTTGAACATGTATCATTCCATTTGAATTTTTCTAGAAAAGTCGAAAAAAATTAATGGTTACTAAACTGCACCCTCTATAAGACGAGGTGTGAACTAGCGACCATAAACAAAGTCAGTTTTGAAATGAGAGTGAAATTATCTTTCAAGCGAGCCCAAGTTGATTGAATTTGGATGAAGGGTATGGAAGATACAGCAATTCAAAAAATATTTTGTTCACAAGCTTCCCCCACCATTATTATTCAAGATACGAAAAAAAGTCCATACACCAACCTGACCCAGAATTGATGATCTTTTCATTTCCGTTATCAATAGAGTACCTCACCGAGCGATTTCCTGAGATAATTTGAATTTCTTGTTTTATCATGGTAACTTCGCCCCCTACCGGTCATTTGAGAAACTTGAAAATATTTTAAATCAATTTCTCTTTGCCAATTTCATCAATAGATTTTTTTTCCCGAAGCTGTAAAGTTAATGGCTTCCGTAATATCGTACCTCGCCGAGCTTAGTGGGACACCCTGTATATCCGGGAAAAAAGTACTCACTTTATTTCCACGGGAAAAAAGTAATTTATGAAAAGTCACATTTTATAACCTGCCAACAGAGATTAAATGCCAAACTTTTTTTCCGTCACAGAAAAAATACATTATTCTACCTAGTTGACGTAGCAATAACTTACATGGCTCTCCACATCAGGCAGTGTAGTTCGTTACTTCTGGAAATGTGTTGCCTATGAATTATCTACGAGAACCAACGAAAAACACTACTTTCTGCAAAATACGCAAATTTAGGCTATTTTCAACTTGTTATAGCTCCTAACCCGTTAGTCTTACATTCATGAGCAAGAACATTTTCATATAGAAAAATAGAATAGGAAATTTCGCTATTTTTTGCGAATATCTCGGAACTCCCCAGGAAATTTTATATGCAAATGGCAGATTCACATTCAGCACCTCCAAAGATATTTGAAACCGCTGCAGTGTGACATTTTGTGAGTTTACATATGTAATTCTGAAAGTTGTCCTTCTGTTTATTTTGCTTATAAAAGCCTAAAGTCCGATTGAGGTTTCATTACACCTACTGGAAATGCATAGTTTACATGGAATTCATGGTAATTTCACCCCAATTGAACTATCTTCGTTTGCCGAGGTTATCAATGGTGAGGATATGATTTGAGACACCCTCTGAATCATATCAACACAATATAGTCATCTTGTATATCTTGTTGCTGATTCTGATCCAGAAGA